TCCAAGTGACACGATCACAGCCTGGAATATCTGCTTTAAAGTTGGAGATCAAGCAGGCACTCTCCCTGTGTTTCAATAAACTCAGTAAGAAGGGTAGTATTTCCCTCTCTCCTGGTCTAATACTCTACAGTCATTTAGACAGGCCTCTCAGCTCAGGCTTCTCAGCTCAGTGGCACCTCCACCATCAGGTCCCCTAAGCAAATATGTACAAAGACACTGAGTAAACATTACAGTGACAGAGAGTTGACGACTGAACCACACTGTACACAGTGGTGTATCATTGGTAATCCCATGTGTTTAGGTATAGAGACTCCAAACAACAGTGTCATTTTGTTTATTTGTGTCCATGTCCATGATGACATAAAGTAGATATCAGTGATACGGGGTAAAGGCTGACTGTATCTCCTGGGGTTTTATATACTGTAGAAAAATAAAGATATGGGGGATGAAATAGGCTTTTTATTGCTGGTTTTCATGTCTCAATGGTACAGAGCACTGCTACAGACATAGTCTAGAGCAGTGTTTCCCAACTCCAGTCCTCCAGTACCTCCGACGGTACACATTTTTGTTGTAGCCCTGGACAAGCACACCTGATTCAACTTGTCAACTAATCATCAAGCCCTTGATGAGTTGAATCTTGTGAGTTTGTCAGCTGCAACAACAAAAATGTGTGCTGTTGGGGGTACTCGAGGACTGGAGTTGGGAAACACTATATGGCGCGCACACACGTACATGCTCAAACACACACGTGTACATGCACAAACACACACGCACACACAGACACAGACAAGTACACACACACCCATCTCTCCGTAAGGGTAATAGCAGCCGCTGTATTACATTTCCATAAATTATCATGCCTGAGCAACGCAACACATCAAATGAAATTTATGATAATAATAAAGCACAAAACGTAGCTCTTTGCATCAGTTGAAAATCATAACCCTGTAATTAACATGGAGAAAAGCAATTTATCTGCGCTTCAGTGAGGCCTTGCAGCGCAGTCTCTCTCTCTCTTCCTCTTGGCACGTTTGGGATTGTTTTAATTATCTAATGGAATCATGGGTTTGTGTCTTTAGCCTTCCCCCTCCACATATTTGGCACTCCATTACTTTGAATCTAAAATGAGAAACTAAAGTACACAACTGATTGGACTATAATCTGCCTCCACTCAACCCAGAAGAGAGAATCTATCAGAAACACAAAGAGAAGAGAGAGAGCGAGCGAGAGAGGGAGAGGGAGAGGGGGGGGGGGGGGGGGGAGAAAGCTAGACAGAGCTGTTAGAAAGGATACACCTGATAGTAAGAGATATGATCCCAGAGTAACAATGTGACACTGTTCTTAAACAACAACATAAGTATGATGCTGGGTAATACCAAGAGAACAGCAAAGCTTCTCCAGAACTGTCAACTACACTTGAAACCTTTTAGAAGTTGTGGCTGTCTCAAAAGTCAAAGCACTTATCCTGGTTTCTCCCTTCGGTTGATGCCACACAACCTCTTACAGGAGTAATGGATCTGCACCATGGTAAATCTGATTTGTAGGAAGCAGATATTTTGTGGTTTTTTAAAGGTCTCTATTCCAGGAACTCTTGGGTACGGTATGACCAGACTGTACGTTCCTCTAGGAACCAATCAGAGCACAGGTTCCATTAATTATAGCTGGCTGTAGATAGCACTGTTGCATTATTAAACACAGCCAACCACCTGCTCATACCTCTCTCACTGTATCACTCTCTTTCCATCCCTCTCTCACTATACAACTCTCTCCTCATCCCTCTCTCTCATTACCTACCTCCACTTCACCCAAAATCTCTGTTTCTATTCCTCTCTCCATCCATCTCTACCCTTATCTGTCCTTTTTTTACCCATCCTCATTAATCTTAGGGAGTTTACCTAAGCTGTCCATCTACTTACTCTAGTACTTATCCAAACCACCAGAACTCCCCCACTCATCTGTAGGCTCCCATCTATAAAGAGAGCAGGGGAAATTAGAGGCTCAGGTTTCATATATTATTTAATACACAAAAGGACATGAGAAACACTCAAAGATAAAATGGCAAGATGCACCACCAAGACATCTGCACTATAATGACACTATCTTGAAGTTGACAATGTACACAGTCTGAAAAAGGAAGATGATGAAAAGAAAGAATGATGAAAGAAAAGCCCTGAAGACTGCCACTGCAGGAGAACAACTCCAAAGGGCAACTAAAGCCATGTCCTCATTACCCAGTTCTTCTTCGAAAACCACTCAAAAAGCACAGAGTACATACATTGTCCTGAGCTACAGTATACTGGTACTATGTGCAGGTGCCTGAAGAATATGGGTAAATACTTGCTACTCTTCAGCCATGATAAAACAGTGGGGTACTTCAATAGTTCCAGGAAAGAGAGTTGCAAAGATCCCACTCCAGGTGGGCAGCCCTTCCTGTGGAGTGACAACAGTGTCATTAAGAATGTCCAGATGGTGTGAGAGCCACTGGAGCTGCAGCACATCAGCAGAAATCCTGGAAGCAGGTACAGTACAGGGCAATCTGTCAACCTGCAGCTGGCCTTCCTGTTTCACAGCTCTCAACTGGGCCATCATGTACAGGACCACAGACACACTGACACACATACTGGTCTCTGGGGGATCTTTCTACGCAGTCCATTACATAATCCCATGTCTCTGAAGCTAACAAAACCAGCACCACAGAAAGCAAACAGAGTCCCAATAGGATAACTATATCATAAGGTTATATCTGTCTGCCCTCATGTGATGTGTCACGACAGACACATCTACAATGGGGCACAGGAGTTCAGGGTTTATTACAGAGCTTATTGCAAAGACTTGTACAGCTGTAGATTTGGCCCTGTCTACTAGTTCCACTAGATCAGTGTGTGATGGGGCTCTCTCTCTCTCTCTCTGTGTGTGTGTGCGCGTGCGTGCCTGCGTTCGTGTGCTGACTACATGGAGGGGGAGTCAGACTTAGCAGTGCTGAGGAGAGAGAGATAGAGAGAGAGAGAGAGAGTAGAGAGAGAGAGAGAGAGAGAGAGAGAGAGAGAGAGAGAGAGAGAGAGACGTGTTATTACCCTGTCTGACCTTGTCAGATAAGAGCCTTTACGCTGCTCATACACCTCTCCTTCACATGGTCTCTCCAACTACATCCATCTCTCTCCGCTCTCCATCTTCCTCCTCTTTCTCTTTCCTCAAAGTATCTTCATGCCTCTGCCTCTCACTCACCTTCCACTCCTTTAAAGCCTCAGCACTTTTAATTTAATATGGCAAAAGAGATGGGAAAGTTTTGAGTTATCTAATCAAATCAAATCAAATTGTATTTGTCACATACACGTGTTTAGCAGATGTTATTGCGGGTGTAGCGAAATGCTTGTGTTTCTAGCTCCGACAGTGCAGTAATATCTAACAAGTAATAAGTGGATAAGTTGGTCTGTTTGAGACTCAGTCTGTTCTTTCAAGGGAGGAAAAAACAAACCAAGTATGTCTTTAAAATGATATGGGTTAAGGGATAGGAGCTGGTCTGTCTATAAGGCAGAGGAGTTGGTTCTTTGCATGATTCCACTGGGGGCTGTCTGGGCTGCTTGGACTTCCTGTCAGTCTGGCTGGCTGGCAGGCTGGCTGGGGTGAATGTGATGAAGTTGATTTCTATAAACTCAATTCACCCAATAAATTCAACTTTAGGCAGAACTAAGCTAGGACTTTTGTGTGGGTCATTTTAGGTGCAAATACGGTTATCATTCTGTAGTTTGTAATAAGCATTATTGATTCAAAGTAAGTATTTAAAGTACATACTGATGCTATTCAGTAAAGTGCAGACAAGATGCAGGCGAAGGTGCAGGCCATACTGTATGTCAATACTCAAGTCAACAAAATGTACCTTCTTCCAGGATATTTATTCCTCAAAATCACTAGAAAACAACCACACGAAAAACAGCACACACATCAAACAAAACAAACTAAAAAGATCTGTGGAAAAGTTTGCCTGGAATGCAAGGGCATTCCCTCTCACTTCACTCCGCTATGTATCCCAGAATTTCAATGGTGTATCTATATTTGTGATGTTCCTGAGGCACCCTTTAAAGCAAGGCTCCCCTTACTCAGGGCCAACTCTACCTTACAAACAGCCTGGGGGACTAGAGAAAGAAATGCACCAGATCAGCAAAAACATGAAAAAGTCCCAAAGCATACTACCATAATATTTGCCAACCTGTCAATTCAGTTAGACTGTATTGCATATTCACCCCTATAGAATACAGTATGACACTGTCCTTTAGATTCACAAATTCAATCAAATATATCGTTGCTGTCTGAAGAAAACCTCATCTCCAAAACTTTTCATGAAATTTATAAAATGACCATATTTTCCCATTAACAAACATAAAATTATGAAACTTCAGAAGCTATTTTCAATACATTTCCTTGGTCCTAGAGTCATGAAATGTTCAGTGTACAATAAGGGAAGTTAATACATTTAATAAATGTAAAAAAGTAACAATTTGTTTAAAATAATAATGTTTTTTTCATCAGACAGCGACAACATGTACAGGACCACAGACACACTGACACACATACTGGTCTCTGGGGGGTCTTTCTACGCAGTCCATTACATAATCCCTTGTCTCTGAAGCTAACAAAACCAGCATCACAGAAAGCAAACAGAGTCCCAGTAGGATAACTATAACATAAGGTTATATCTGTCTGCCCTCATGTGATGTGTCACGACAGACACATCTGCAATGGGGCACAGGAGTTCAGGGTTTACATTTTACATTTTAGTCATTTAGCAGACACTCTTATCCAGAGCGACTTACAGTTAGTGAGTGCATACATTTTTCATACAGAGTTTATTGCAAAGACTTGTACAGCTGTAGATTTGGCCCTGTCTACTAGTTCCACTAGATCAGTGTGTGATGGGGCTCTTTCTCTCGCACTGTGTGTGTGTGTGTGTGTGTGTGTGTGTGTGTGTGCGTGCGTGCGTGCCTGCGTTCATGTGCTGACTACATGGAGGGGGAGTCAGACTTAGCAGTGCTGAGGAGAGAAAGATAGAGAGAGAGAGAGAGAGAGAGAGAGAGAGAGAGAGAGAGAGAGAGAGAGAGAGAGAGAGAGAGAGAGAGAGAGAGAGAGAGAGAGACGTGTTATTACCCTGCCTGACCTTGTCAGATAAGAGCCTTTACGCTGCTCATACACCTCTCCTTCACATGGTCTCTCCAACTATATCCATCTCTCTCCATCTTCCTCCTCTTTCTCTTTCCTCAAAGTCTCTTTATGCCTCTGCCTCTCACTCGCCTTAGACTCCTTTAAACCCTCAGCACTTTTAATTTTAACAAGTAATAGATAGCGACAATATGCTATCTGATTTATAAAAGTTAGAGAGGTAGAGCAGATGAACATTGACACAAACAATAAGTGCAGTATTATAGTTCTGTACCTTTATAGATCATGGCTGATGAAATATTTTTTCCTAATTTCCCATGAGTGTTCATTACAGAACACGTATAGGTTCTACAGCACTTACCTCTCCTAAGGAGTGAGATGGAGAAGCTCATCTTCCATTACTCACAGTATCAGACACAATATGACTCTAATGAATGCTGTTAGCCACATCAAAAAGCACTATTTATAGTTCCATTGGGTTCAGGTGGAATCTACTCAGCGTTAGCTAGCCTAGTGAACATATTTTATCAAAGCTGTTAATGACATCTTCCGAATTAGACTTCCTCGAAATCATCAAGGGAAGAACAAGAGTGAGGCACCGAGATCAAAGGAACCCTGTTCCTTCTGCATGCCACGTTCTTGTTCTAGCTCATTAGGATCTATGGAACAACCTCCAGCAGGCTCAGTCTTTAAAAAGAATCAGGGAATGTCATAATGTGATGGATCCACAATTAACATTGGTTTCAACGTAGGACTAATGAAAAAGTAAAAATGGTTTTAAAGGCTGATCTTCAGTCTTTGCACATACTATATGAATAGACGTATTAGTAGTTCATCATCCTTCTTTGATTATTTAACAAATTAGTCAACTTTTAGTCATTCCTGCTTAGAATAGTGTGGAGAGCAGGTAGTAGGAACTAGGAACACATATGTGCTGCGTTCTACCCATTTTGCTCTGTCACTGCTCTCTATATACTCTTTCCCCATCTCCATCTCCACCTCACAACGTCTTCTCCTGTCCTCATTCTCCTCTAGCCTTAGGTTAAGGCTATGGCACTTCAGAATCCCTTTCACTGGGAAAAGGAGTTCAAAAGACATATAGGAGCCAGAAAGAGAGATAGAGAGGAATGAATACAGAGAGAAACAGATAAAAGAGAGAGAGGAAGACAGCAAGGTAGAAAGAAGCAGACCACTTGTAAGATGACTATGCTATGGGTAAGTACACTCTTAGAAAAAAGGGTTCCAAAAGGGTTATTTGCGGAGGGATAGGGTTCTACCATGAACCGTTTTGATCAGAAGGGTTCTTTGTAAGTCAAATGGTTCTAGCTAGGACCTTTAACATCCAAGAACAGTTTTTGGAAGAAACGGTTCTTTGATGATTCTTTGGAAGGCAAGAAGAATTCTTTGGAAGGCAAGAAGGGTTCTACATAGAACCATATATAATATTTCCCAGCAGGCTCTATTGCAGGGAGATTTCCTGAATTGTTTGTTTTACTGTAATACTGTATCTGTGTTTTTGCATGTACATTGATTGGTTGATAAATGTTATGCTACACAAAGATAAATAACATACAGTTTTCTAAACTAATCCAATCTATTAGTAATTGGATTTATTGCACCTGTTATTGACATGGTTGTTCCAGTTTAGATTGAGGTAGTCTCAGTATTCAATCTTACCTACCCTGGCAGTCATTCATTGTTGGATTTCCTAACTCTGGTTGGATTCCAATAGGAATTACACATCACTTTGCAAGCCAGGATAATGTGACTTGCAGGCCTGATGTGGCCTGTAAACCAGGAGATTCCTAACACCACTGTGTTAGGGTATAACTAGACAATCAAAGAAAGGCCTTATGATATACAGTACATAATGTATTGTCATAAAGAATTACATTTTAATAAAGGCTGGTGGGTTCTACCCCTTCATAGAGGGTTCTAGGAAGAACCCGCCAAAGATAAAAGGGTTCTCGGTAGAACCCTTTATAGTAGGTTCTAGGCAGAACCCTTCATCGAGGGTTCTAGGTAGAACCATATACAGGGGGTTCTTTGAAGAACAAAGGGTTCTACCCAGCACCAAAAAGGGTTCCCTTATGGAGTCAAACCAAAGAACATTGTATGGTTCTACTTAGGACATTTATTTCTAAGTGTGTCGTTGCTGGAATATAGACTATTCTATGGGCATGAATAAATCCAAATGACCTGTAAAACAGGATTTAACTCAGGGATGAGAGAGAAGAAATGGAGGACACATGTAATCCTATAGTGAATGAAAGGAGATTTAATACATTTCGTCTGTTGGAAGGAGGGCATAGAAAAGAGAAAGACCAAGTACCAGCGATATAGAACAGAGAGTACAAATGAGGAGAGGGTATGATGGAGAGGTGAAATGTGGAAGAGGATCAGCTGGTTTTGAAAGATAATGAAAGAGAAGGGCATGAGTGCCTCAACTGAAGGAGGAAATAGAGGATAAATAAATATGAACTAAAAGGAGAGGAATTAATGGGGGAAAAGAGGGCCCTTCAACATCAGAACTCTTCCGAAGAAATTAGGGAATAAATAATAAAAATATAAATAATAATATGCCATTTAGCAGACACTTTTATCCAAAGAGACTTACAGTCATGCGTGCATACATTTTTTTTGTGTATGGGTGGTCCCGGGGATCGAACCCACTACCTTGGCGTTACAAACGCCGTGCTCTACCAGCTGAGCTACAGAGGACCACAGGGATGGAAAGAACCATTACTGCTTGTTGGTCTCTTTCACCAAACAGGTATATTTAGCCCCATATCCAGAGGGCAATACCAAAACCAGGGCAGTGAGAATAATTCAAACCCAGAGTTTAGCAAAAATCCTACTCAGGCGACATACTGTAAAGCCAACGTATTGCATTTGGCTGTAATACAGTGAGGAGGTTTTGGCTGTAATACAGTGAGGAGGTTTTGGCTGTAATACAGTGAGGAGGTTTTGGCTGTAATACAGTGAGGAGGTTTTGGCTGTAATACAGTGAGGAGGTTTTGGCTGTAATACAGTGAGGAGGTTTTGGCTGTAATACAGTGAGGAGGTTTTGGCTGTAATACAGTGAGGAGGTTTTGGCTGTAATACAGTGAGGAGGTTTTGGCTGTAATACAGTGAGGAGGTTTTACTGCTCATAAACTACAAGCAACAATAATCATACAGTGGCTGTAATGTCATCATCTAGTGCGTTTTATTTCAGGGGTCATTTATGGCCTGATATATTTACATAAAACTATTTTAAATATTATGTAACGCCAACGATTCACTAACTGGAGCATCACAAATTGAGCATAAATCTGTGCTAAAAGCCCATAAAGCAATCACGACTTTCCCCTCTTGTAAAGCTAGAGAAGTTCACCTAATGGCTCTCCAGGGCTGCCAGCGAACGATTTGACTGTTACACACAGCAAAAAGTAATGGACCTCCTAGACAGACAGTGTGGGAATGATTAGAGTGTTACACATAGTTAAAGTTAATGAGGCTCTAAAGTGGGCCAGGTATGATTTGACTGGGGTGAATAGAGTTGACCTGAACACACCTCTATAGTAATAGGCCACCCTGGTGACAGAGGAATAATTTGAGTGTTTCCAAAAAGTTGACAGCCAGACAGGCAGTTTTATGCGAGGCGGTTGGCTGACATGTATAAGATGTCCATTAATAGTGTGTCTGGTGACAGATAGGGAGGGACAACTGAGGGATGGAGGGGTGGAGAGAGGTGTGAGCCGGAACAGATGGAGCGATGTCTGGAAACCAAGAGGTGTGCTGTCATGCCTTCCAATTTGTTGTCTTTGTTAAATCACCTTGTCACACTAACATAGAGAAGCTCACTGAGAAGAATCTATTTATTTCAATACCATAGACAAACTCTGAAGGTGAGTGATGATAAAGATTAAAAGAGTAAGAACAAACTTCATTGTACATCATTGTTGTTTGTCAAACTAAGTTGAACCCTGATTGTCCCCCTTGACAAGTTTCAATCAATAACTGTGAGGAACATCGGTGGAATCAACGCCTTATGAGATTTACTGCACATAAACAGACCTGCACACAGCTCATTGTTGACAAGCTGACAGTCAGTGCGGACCTCAGTATCCATGAGATGACATTCAGGCTACAACCAGAGCCAGAACTGGAAGTGTAACCCTGGATGCTGCAGAATGTTCTGCCTGGTGCTTGACCTCTTCACTCACCTGATGCTCTGTGATTGGAGGACATCTGGGTCGGTGGCGTTGAGCAAGGCCACAAAACTGCCCAGCGGGATGTTCTCCATCTTGGTGACCTGGAGGGGGTCGGGAAAGAAGACGGGCCCCTCGTTGACGTCCAGGACGGTGATGTGTACGGTGGCTGTAGAGCTGGAGCCGTAGCCCACATCTGGCACCAAAGGGTCCTCATTCTCCACTTTGATCAGCAGCGTGTGGAACACTAAGCTCTCATAGTCCAGAGGCTGGGGGGAGAGGAGAGAAGGGGAGGGAAGGAGGTGAGGAGAGAAAACATGTAAGGAACAGAGGGGAGAAGATGGATGATAAGACCGGTAGGAACAAAGAGGAGAGGGGGAGAGAAATTATGTACGAAAAAATGGGAAGAGGAGGGCAGGAGAAGAGATGGCGTAAAGGGGCAAACTGCAGTGTGCTAGAGAAAAATCATATGATGTTAGCAAGGTTACAGCTATCCTGTAGTCCTGTATCCTGTATATATTGCTAAATTGTATGGATTTATTGGAATAATGAGAGTAATAAAAGCTATGAGTGTTACAGGATCTTTACTGTGCCACCTGTATGTTCATATCTCCAGTGAATAGGCCAGATTGTGCAGTAATATCACCATCTACCCTGCCTGTTATAATGATACCACAAACAATACCTGTTTTAGCTCATCCATAATTAAGAGGATTGAGAGAGATAGGAGAGTCATTTGAGAGATAATTGAGAGAGATAATTGACCCTTCGCTAAGCCCCGCCCCCTATACCATTACAACCTCAGTCAACATTTTCCAGGGAAGCCCAATTCCCCATTCAAACCACTAGAGCAGGGGTGTCAAACTCATTTTCCCCCAGGGGCCGCATTCGGTCTTCACCGAGGTCCGGCAGGCCGCACTTAAATATTAATATATTTCCTTGCCATCAAAATTTGCTAAGAATAATTAACTCTATGCGAAGGGTATGTGTCGCAATGCATGAGGCAAATGGTGGTCACACCAGATACTGACGAGATTTCTGATCCACAGATGCATAGATTACGGCCTAATGAATTTATTTCAATTGACTGATTTCCTTATATGAACTATAACTCAATAAAATCTTTGAAATTGTTGCATGCGTTTATATATTTTTTCAGTATAATTGACCGAGTGAAAAGAAGGATGCCTGTACAGAATAAAATATTCCAAAACATGCATCCTGTTTGCAACAAGGCACTAAAGCCAAAATGTGGCAAAGCAATTCCCTTTTTGTCCTGAATACAAAATGTTAGGTTTGGGGCAAATCCAATACAACATATTACTAAGTACCACTCTCCATATTTTCAAGCATAGTGGTGGCTGCATCATGTTATGGGTATGCTTGTAAGGACTGTGGAGTTTTTCAGGATAAAAAAGAAAAGGAAAGGAGCTAAGCACAGGCAAAATCCCAGAGGAAAACCTGGTTCAGTCTGCTTAAACCTAAAACACAAGGCCAAATCTACACTGGAGTTGCTTATCAAGAAGACAGGGAATTTTCCTGAGTGGCTGAGTTACAGTTTTGACTTAAATCTACTTGAAAATCTATGGCAGGAGCTGAAAATAGTTGTCTAGCAATGATCAACAACCAATTTGACAGAGATTGAAGAATTTTGAAAATAATAATGGGCAAATGATGCACAATCCTGGTGTGGAAAGCTCTTAGAGACTTACCCAGAAAGACTCACAGCTGTAATCGCTGCGAAAGGTGCTTCTATAAAGTATTGACTCAGGCGTGTGAATACTTATGTAAATTCGATATTTCTGTATTTCATTTTCAATTAATTTGCAAAAATTTCTAACAACATGTTTTCACTTTGTTATTATGGGGTATTGTTTGTAGATGGGTAAGAAAGAAAAAATATGTGTAATCCATTTTGAATTCAGGCTACAACACAACAAAATATGGAATAAGCCAATGGGTATGAATACTTTCTGAAGGCACTATACATTTAGAGAAAACTAATTATAACTAACTAGCAATGTTTTCAATGAGAGCTAGCTAACCAGCTAGCTAGCAAGCAAGCGATTCAACAATAGTATAAATTCGGAATCAAAAAAGAATTCAACAGGCTCTGTATTTCAGGTATAGTTTTAGGGTGTTCACTCTAAGCTCTAGAATGTAGGAAAAAAATTGTCAATTCAATAGGGTGCTAATAAATTAATGTCCAAATGTCGTTTTCTTTGCACTATGTCATTATATATCACATACAATTATTCATTAGATTATTCTCTACAATATTACAACCTATATTATAACTATAATATTATGCTTGTATTTAACAGTGTTGATGAAATAAGAACGCTAGTTTGTTGTGACCGTTGCTAGTTTAGACTACGCCACTCTTGGTTGTAGCTCTTCCATTTTCGGCATTGGGAGGTGGTAACATTTGGAGGTGTTTCCGCACTTTGGACCAATCAAAATCAACATGATACACTCGACATTTCATCTCCAGATCCTTGGCTTTCATTGCCGATATAGCCGATCAATCTAAGTTGAAAGGGGCAAAGGGAAAGACTCAGAAATACACCATGAAAACTGGAACAAATTGCTTTCGTGAAGTGTAGATATTGAAATTCAGACTGTTAGCTTTGTAAATTAATATATATATAAAGGCCCAATTTTTTTTGTATTCCCCGGATTTCATTTAGAAAATGCACATGTTATCCCACACTAACTTGCAGCCACTAACTCGAATCATGCTACATTTTCAGAGTAAATAGTCTAACATTTTAACCATATATGGTAGAGACATAGGGTTTGGACTATTGTTTTTCTAATGCAATTCTCTGTTGAATTAACATTTATAAACCTTGAATGAAATAATAATTTTATGGGTGAACACCCTACATAGTTGCGAGTGCCCCTGCTGCACTGTTAAATTATTTAGCCATTTAAATCATGATTTTTTTTTATGAAAACTCTCAGTTTTTCCATTTCCCTCATCGGATCCATGGGTTTTAAACATGAGCTTATCCGAGGTGTCGACTCGACGACAGTTGCTATCCACGGGAGCGCTGGAATTGGTTGCCCAAATTTCTGGGGCAGGGCTTAGCGAAGGTTCAATTGAAAGAACTTCAGGGCCCTGTGGTTACCTTGACGATGGAGAGCATGCCCTCGTTGTTGTCGGGGTTGGTTTGAATCTCAAAGTTCTGAGTGGGGTCACCGTTGATGATGGAATAAATGGCCCGCCACGCCCCCGTCGCCGGGTCATCTCTGTCATCCACCGTCAGGTTGACTGCCACACCTGTGGAGCCCTCGTCCACATTGGCCTGGAACTGGAGGGACATACAGAGACAAAGGGACGAGACTGGTCAACACTGGTGTCATTATAGAGGTATTGAACTGGACACATAGAGACATTACTGGTCATCACACATTTATTATAAACAGGTGGTTTCTATTCAATGGCCTGGAACTAGACACACAGACACAGACAGAGGGCAGAGGTTGGTCAACACACATATAGATAGCAGATGTGCGTTCAACAAGGGAAATAGTTCGCAAACGTAAGCTAAAGTTAACTAAGACATTCCATTTGTTTTGTGTTAGCTGCTTGTGGGTTCAGTGTAACATTTTGGAATGTTTATTCAAATCGTCCAACAAATTGTTCCTTAGTAACATGTTCACCCATTCAGTGGGACAGTGGTATAACCTTGATTTTAGGTAAAAAAATAAGGGATTTTAACATGATCATCATCATCATCATCATCATCATCATCATCATCACTTCAGTGGACATGGGACTGACAAGTGAGGGATAGAGTATGGTGTTTCTCAAGGTAGGTTGCCCAGTCTGAATCCCGCTCCACTTGAAGTGACTCACATCTAGAGGCTATTAAAAGCGTAATGTTTTATCTCACTTACATCATTCACATCTCTCAAGTGCTATTGAGTTGAACCCAGTGTCAAACTCCTCTCTCTCTCCTCTCTCTGGAGCGGGTCAAGAGCTTCAAGTTCTTCGGTGTCCACATCACTAAGGATCTATCATGGTCCACACACACCAACATAGTCGTGAAGAGGGCACAACAACGCCTCTTCACCCTCAGATCCTCAAAAAGTTATACAAGCTGCACCATTGAGAGCATCTTGACTGGCTGCATCACCGCTTGGCAACTGCTTGGCATCCGACCGCAAGGCGCTACAGAGGGTAGTACCTACGGCCCAGTACATCATTGGGGCCAAGTTCCCTGCCATCCAGGACCTCTATACCAGGCGGTGATAGAGGAAGGCCCTAAAAAGGTTCAAAGACTCCAGCCACCCAAGTCATAGACTGTTCTCTCTGCTACCGCACGGCAAACGGTACCGATGCACCAAGTCTGGAACCAACAGGACCCTGAACAGCTTCTACCCCCAAGCCATAAGACTGCTAAATAGTTAGTTAAATAGTTAACCAAATAGCTACCCGGAATATCTGCATTGACCCTTTTTGCATTAACATTTTTGACTCAGAGAATATGTGGCTAGGGGACACTGACACTGGCTGCGTCCCAAATTAGAATTAGAATTAGAAAAACGTTATTGTCCACGCAATTTGAAAATGTATCTTTGGAATCACCACATGAAAACAGACATTAATACACCATCATGAGCACATCATTCTCGAGATCAATAAATAAATCATACAAAGTACAAAGTGCTACAGTGCCAGTGCAGTTCACTGAGAGTACAAAACACCAAGAACACCTGCTCTTTCCATGACATAGACTGACCAGGTGAATCCAGGTGAAAGCTACAGTATGATCCCTTATTGATGTCACTTGTTAAATCCACTTCAATCATGTAGATGAAGGCAGGTTAAAGAAGGATTTGTAAGCCTTCAGACAATTGAGACATGTATGATTGTGAATGTGTGCCATTCAGAGGGTGAATGAGCAAGACAAAATATTTAAGTGCCTTTGAATGGGGTATGGTAGTAGGTGCCAGGCGCACTGGTTTGTGTCAAGAACTGCAATGCTACTGGGTTTTTCACGCTCAACAGTTTCCTGTGTGTATCAAGAATGGTCCACCACCCAAAGGACATACAGCCAACTTGACACAACTGTCGAAAGCATTGGAGTCAACATGGGCCAGCATCCCTGTGGATTGCTTTCGACACCTTGTATAGTCTATGCCCTGATGAATTGAGTCTGTTCTGTGGGCAAAAGGGTTGGGTGCAACTCAATATTAGGAAGGTGTTCTTAATGTTTTGTACACTCAGTGTATGTTGTGTCAGTGGTGTAAAACCATTATCATCATCAAGAGATCCCTACCCTATTCCCTTTATAGTGCACTACTTTTGACCAGTGTACATAGGGGGCCATTTGGGATGCAGACTGTCTGTCTGTGAATGCCAGGTTATGCAGTCTGAGGGCTGCACTGAGGCAGTCCGGGGAGAAGCAGCAGCACTAATGTTTTTTTAAAGGTAAGTCAGCGGGACTCAAGCAAAAACACAAGTTTGTGTGGAAACACACACACGCACGCACACACACACACACACACACACACACACACACACACACACACACACACACACACACACACACACACACACACACACACACACACACACACACACACACACACACACACACACACACACACACACACACACACACACACACAAAGGAGCTCTATCCTATGCCATTCCCACAGAATCTCCATTTGTTTCTCATTGTCACTCCTACCCTATTGTTGTAGTGAACCCTTAATCAGACTCATATCAGGAATGTATTCTGCTTGGCAGCCACTTTGTTGTAGAGTGCATTGTGAAGCAGAGGAATACTCTAGGAGCCTTACTGCATCTAGCCGAAAGCAATTCCCTCTCTCTCTGTCAGGACCATTATTGTATCACAGTTTACAGAGTAATCTATCAGGCACACAACGCTCTGTTTAAGGATAGTGCTGTATTCCAGATTATGGTGTATTCTGTCAGGATTGTATTTTGGGTCACAGATTACCGCTCGCTCTTCCCAACACCATGCATCGGTCTTTAGAAAAGAGCTCTTTCAAAAACACACTTTACACAACTCAGTCATTTAGGCTACAGAGGACGGAAACAAAATGTTATTCTAATGGAGAGAAAGAAAGAAAAAGAAACAGAGAAAAAGAGGGAAAGAAAAATATACTTGGGGTAACACAGCTAGTCTACAATCCTAACCCTGTTATCCTCAAACGGGATCCTCAATGGGAGGGAACATGGCCTGTTGCTAAGCACCATGACATCCTGTTCTACGGCTGCTTTCCCCCTGTGATTACAGCAGTTACACACTACTTACACACTGATTAGCAGGATAGCAGGCTGCTATAGCTGCAGACCAGACCTCAGCCTCCCTCCCCAAGAACCCCTGTGGATCGGAGCGCTGTGGCTACACAGTGGACGCGGAGAGGGAACATTCCCATTCCACAGGCGTAAGACAACCCACAAAAGCCATTACCACAGACAGAGCATGGAATCAGGGGTGTCCCACTGATCAGGGATTCCTGAAGAATTCTAATAATGAGCTGCCTTGAATATTCTTCTGCTTATATAGTGTGGTGATTTTGTTGCAGGAGTAAATGGATTGCCACTGTCTACACTTCTCCAGTGATACTTTGAAACTGTCTTATTTCTTATTACAAGGTGTATTGAAAGATTTGAGGAGGATAAATTGTTAGAAGCACGCACACACACAGACAGAGATAACTGGCCATTCGGGTTTCATTTAATCATCTCAAGCAGCCATGCGGTTAGATGGATGTATTCAATCTCTGTCGCCCGTTGCCACTGAGCCCCTGCCCTGCTACTGATAAGACCCCAACACCTCAGAGTGCACAAAGTAACCAGCGGTGTTAGAGAATGTGGGAAATAACCACTAACTCAGACTGGCCCTGGGGTGTCATACACACATAGACTGAGAGTGTGTGTGTACATGCGTGCGCACCTGCGTGTGTGTGTGCACTTGTGTGTGCATGACCCTGTGTTCTTGTTTTGTGTTCTTGTGGTGTTAGTGTGTGTTCTTGTGGTGTTTGTGTGTGTTATTGTGGTGTTTGTGTGTGTTCTTGTGGTGTTTGTGTGTGTTATTGTGGTGTTTGTGTGTGTTCTTGTGGTGTTAGTGTGTGTTCTTGTGGTGTTTGTGTGTGTTCTTGTGGTGTTTGTGTGTGTTCTTCTGGTGTTTGTGTGTGTTCTTGTGGTGTTTGTGTGTGTTCTTGTGGTGTTTGTGTGTGTTCTTGTGGTGTTTGTGTGTGTTCTTGTGGTGTTTGTGTGTGTTCTTGTGTATATCGGAGAGAGAGACAAACAGACCCAGAGCCAGCCCCAGAACCAATTGTAGAGCAAGGGAGCTCTGTTAACACACAGTGAAGGGATGACCAGGTCAGTAGAGGCCAGACCAGGGCAGTTCAGTGCAGGCCAGAGGAGAAACACATACACCCCCTGATTTAACTCAGATGCCTGCCTGGGGACTAGAGCCATTCATTCACCAGCTGTCAGTCTGGGACTCATAGCAGCTGACTGGATGATCCCATTGAGTTGACCTGCTGATAACAGTTTGACAATGCTTTAAGGTGGTGAACTCTAGCGCTACCCATGATATACGATATGGACCCATCACAATAACAATGTCCCCGCCTGTAGCCTGACATGACTGTAGTTCAACAGACCATAAACAGGTGAAGGAGGGAGGAAGCAGCCACTCTGAAACCCTCCCACTGAGCAAAAACTGGCTGAATCAACATTGTTTCTACGTCATTGCAACAAAAAACATATATGTGATGATGTTGAATCAATGTGAAAAACTGATTGGATTTGAAAAAAGTAATCGTATTTTTTCACCGACTTTTAACCTCAATCCAATGACATTTGTTTCACGTTGAATTCACGTTAGTTGACAACTCAACCAAATTTTTATCAAAACTAGACGTTGAACAGATGTCTGAGCCCAGTGGGCAGAGATTGTCTGTAGGGCCATCATACAATGCATACTTCTTGTTTACTATGAAAATGGCCTGGCATATCTCTCTGTGCACTCACCACTTGTTGCTGACAATGCATATTGATCTAATATGGGGATATAATGGGAGCAGGGGGTCAACATCAAACCTAATTAACACCACTTTGGAAATTACTTTCTATTTCTTTCTAACTTTTCATTCAGCATTCTATGCCAGCTGGCACTATGAGCCGGTTGGAAGGCAACAACCCTGACTTTATTGCAGTGTTGAGAAGTCCTCTCTATGTGCTGTCATTGATCGGTGTCTACACTACCTGTCTGTCCCTGGCCTTCCTCTCCACACGTGAATAGGATATGGCAATTAACTGCTCAGCCTGCATTAACGTTAAGTGGAGTGAAGAGGAGAAATAAAAATGTCTCTCTCTCTCTCTGTTCACAGTGATAAGAAACTGTCCCGTCACACACTCATCATACTCATCTTTTTACACCTCCACCACCCCTCCTACTCGGCAGCCCAACATCCCCCCATCATCTGACAGACCACAGAAAAGAGAGATAAACTTACAGTGATCCTGGACCGTCAGACAGAATGGCTTATGAATTTAAATGTGGTTTGATTTGGTTGGTCTGACAGAGAGACAGCCATGCAGGGAGAGAGTACAGAAGAGCAGCTGTTCATTTGTCCTAATGGAATGTGCCTTGTGACATCTCTGTGGCACCATAGATTGAGCTGACAGCAAACACACAGTGCCATGTCACTTTAGTCCCTGAGGAGACAACACTATTCCCCTAAGGACCAGTGACATCACAGCAGAGGTGCAGACTCTCAAATATATGTATTTCTATGGACAGTGATGTTCTCTCTCTCATTCTGCCTGCCGGCATCATCTGACCTGACTTCACAAAAACAACTGAAAAGCCCACAAAGAAAGATCATATGCTTGAACTTTTATCATTATTACTCTAGTTTTATATATTACTTTTGATAGGATGATTAATTTGAACAGTGCATGCTTCTTATTCGCATGTGGGTAACTAACTAACGTGCTAGCAGTATGTTGAGAAAAAATATTCTCCTACATGCTAAAAGATCATTATTCCCTGGCGCGAAATACAAATTATATTCATCTTTCAGCAGTTCTCTCTCTTACCCAGTCAGCTTGCTTATGAAAGCTGCTTATCTTATCTGATTGATGTGCATCCTTTAGACAGAATGAACACCAAAATACTTTGTGCGCAGACTCACTCACACACACGTGCACACACACACACACACACACACACACACACACACACACACACACCCTCTCTCCTACATACATGGGCCAAGGAAGTTAATGAGCATAACTGTACTATTATTACATTTGAAGAGCTCCAGCTCAAGCTGTGAGGGAAAAAAGTATTTGATCCCCTGCTGATTTTGTACGTTTACCCACTGACAAAGACATGATCAGTCTATAATTGTAATGGTAGATTTCTTTGAACAGTGAGAGACAGAATAACAACAACAAAATCCAGAAAAACGCATGTCAAAAATGTTATAAATTGATTTGCATTTTAATGAGGGAAATAAGTATTTGACCCCTCTGCAAACCATAACTTAGTACTTGGTGGCAAAACCCTTTTTGGCAATCACAGAGGTCAGACGTTTCTTGTAGTTGGCCACCAGGTTTGTTGGTGGTAGGTCTGTATTTGAAAACTAGAGAGAACAGAACGGCTATCAGCTATTTGAGTGGGGACTCTTCAGTGCTCCCTGAAGAGGTGTCTTGTGTTCTACTCTCCATGCTTCAGACCTGAAGGACGAACAATCCACTCAAGTGTTCACACACTCTAGCCATTCTCTGGAGGTCCTGTCATGCCAAATACTGTCCACCTGCCAATGCATGTCCCCCCATGCGTCACAATGGGATTCGATTAGCTTTTAGAGTCCGTTGCTATGTCAACGATGTGATGAGTTAATGCGTCACATTTTGGAGATCATTACAGACAAATGGATGTTCTTATCATCTGTGCTATGTAAACAAAGTAGATTTCTGTGACAATTTTGGTGCTAAAACGCATTTCGTTTAGCTAAATCATCCCTTTATATCTGTCTGAGAGTCTGGTAAACATGAGAGGTTGCCTATTCATCTCAACATCTAAATGACATGGTGAAGTCTATGGATTGCTGATCTCTTCAGACACCGTAGGTTTAAAATTATTTTTATACACAACATGGTCTCCTACCATGACCAATGGACTCTCATGCCAAATGGCTTCTCTTATCTGAATATGATAGAGAAAGAGAAGGCTAAGCCAAATGTATTGACTCTTTTATCTACCTTGATAGGTTATACCCAAGGAAAATACCAAATCTGAAGTATTTGGATATCTTTTGTCAGCACAAAGGATTCAGGCAGAAACAAAGAAGGCATTTGAGGTGGTCCTAACCCCATATCCCCTCCTGCCCCCTCTCTATCACTCTCCTCCCTCACACAGATACAGCCTATTCCACCCCAGCAACAGACATACATTCACACCCGTTACGAAGCTAGCCGGATATCTCTGAGCTAGTGGAGCAATCATGCAGTCCAGTTCTAATCCCTGACACACGTATGGCAGCCTTCAGTGAGACACAGCCCAGCACTGACAGAGAGCCCAGCCTAGCCCTGGGTAGGACAGACCTCCATGTCTCAGCCATCACTGTTAATATCATTATCATTTGGACGGAGGGCATATTGTCACGTCACCACAGGGGAGCGAGGGCAAGGATTGGCTGTCAGTCTCCCTGAGTGGCAGGAGTGATAAACCGGATCAGTGGCTGCTATGGGACAATGGAACGGGCTAGTCAGAAATTAGATGCCAGTTATCATCCAGGGCCAGAGGGGGGTGAGATGGAAGTGGGGGGTGGCAGGGGTATGTTGTCCCCTTGTACCAGGCAGCAGTGTCACCAGCCTCTCTTTTCTGTGTCACTACAGGCTTTAGTTAGGGAGACGTCAGGACAAGCAGAGATTATGTCATAGGGGCTGATACTGGGTGTACAGTGAGGGAAAAAAGTATTTGATCCCCTGCTGATTTTGTACGTTTGCCGACTGACAAAGAAATGATCAGTCTATAATTTTATTGGTAGGTTTATTTGAACAGTGAGAGACAGAATAACAACAAAAAAATCCTGAAAAACGCATGTAAAAAATGTTATAAATTGATTTGCATTTTAATGAGGGAAATAAGTATTTGACCCCTCTGCAAAACATGACTTAGTACTTGGTGGCAAAACCCTTGTTTAAAATCACAGAGGTCAGACGTTTCTTGTAGTTGGCCACCAGGTTTGCACACATCTCAGGAGGGATTTTGTCCCACTCCTCTTTGCAGATCTTCTCTAAGTCATTAAGGTTTCGAGGCTGACGTTTGGCAACTCGAACCTTCAGCTCCCTCCACAGATTTTCTATGGGATTAAGGTCTGGAGACAGGCCACTCCAGGACCTTAATGTGCTTCTTCTTGAGCCACTCCTTTGTTGCCTTGGCCGTGTGTTTTGGGTCATTGTCATGCTGGAATACTCATCCACGACCCATTTTCAATGCCCTGGCTGAGGGAAGGAGGTTCTCACCCAAGATTTGACGGTACATGGCCCCGTCCATCGTCCCTTTGATGCGGTGAAGTTGTCCTGTCCCCTTAGCAGAAAAATACCCCCAAAGCATAATGGTTCCACCTCCATGTTTGACAGTGGGGAGAGTGTTCTTGGGGTCATAGGCAGCATTCCTCCTCCTCCAAACACGGCGAGTTGAGTTGATTCCAAAGAGCTCCATTTTGGTCTCATCTGACCACAACACTTTCACCCAGTTCTCCTCTGAATCATTCAGATGTTCATTGGCAAACTTCAGACGGGCATGTATATGTGCTTTCTTGAGCAGGGGGACCATGCGGGCGCTGCAGGATTTCAGTCCTTCAATGCGTAGTGTGTTTTCCAATTGTTTTCTTGGTGACTATGGTCCCAGCTGCCTTGAGATCATTGACAAGATCCTCCCGCGTAGTTCTGGGCTGATTCCTCACCGTTCTCATGATCATTGCAACTCCACGAGGTGAGATCTTTAATGGAGCCCCTGGCCGAGGGAGATTGACAGTTATTTTGTGTTTCTTCCATTGGCAAATAATCGCACCAACTGTTGTCACCTTCTCACCAAGCTGCTTGGTGATGGTCTTGTAGCCCATTCCAGCCTTGTGTAGGTCTACAATCTTGTCCCTGACATTCTTGGAGAGCTCTTTGGTCTTGGCCATGGTGGAGAGTTTGGAATATGATTGATTGCTTCTGTGGACAGGTGTATTTTATACAGGTAACAAGCTGAGATTAGAAGCACTCCCTTTAAGAGTGTGCTCCTAATCTCAGCTCATTACCTGTATAAAAGACACCTGGGAGGCAGAAATCTTTCTGATTGAGAGGGGGTCAACTACTTATTTCCCTCATTAAAATGCAAATCAATTTATAACATTTTTGACATGCATTTTTCTGGATACTTTTGTTGTTATTCTGTCTCTCACTGTTCAAATAAACCTACCATTAAAATTATAGACTGATCATGTCTTTGTCAGTGGGCAAACGTACAAAATCAGCAGGGGATCAAATACTTTTTTCCCTCACTGTACACCCAGTATCAGCCCCTATGACATAATCTCTGCTTGTCCTGACGTCTCCCTAACTAAAGCCTGTAGTGACACAGAAAAGAGAGGCTGGTGACACCACTTTTTCCCTCACTGTATTAGTGCAACTTGACAGAATCATGAGTGTGTATAGTATCTGTATGCACCCACCAATGCCCATTATATGGTCTAAGTAAACCAATAACACTATGATATGTTTACCACTTACTCAATGTAACATACTGTAGACAATCCATCTTTACCAGACATGAAACAAGTCTGTTCTATGATGACCCTAGCCTGCCTTCCAGCTACAGGAGACAGCACCTGTGTGTCCATTTCACTAAGAATCTTTGATGAGTTAGAATCTATCTGAACGTAGTAACTGCATTTCAGGGGAATGTTTCACACTGTGTAAGAGAGAAAATTGAAAAACCAAGGAAAAACAAATCCAACAGAATTTCCTCATTTGAATGGTATTTACAGAGCAGTATAGGATGTGTGATCCCTTACAAGCCATGTTTGTCTTTATGGAGCTTTATTATATCGTACTACACTAAAGTCTATTTCAACAGCATGAGGGGGAGGCAGGATACATTGTGAATCCCAACTGGTTGACTTAGGCACATCTTCAAGTAGACTACAGTGTGGTGGAGTTGTGGTGGAGTCATGCCAACACTTTATCAGCACCTATGTGTTCTGGAGGGTAGGCAGCCTAGCTCTTCTCCGCTTGATGAAAGGTAAACCAGAACATGTCTTCCTCTCTGCTTTAATGCAGCACGTACAAGAGATGCTTTTATTTTCTATTAGAAATATGTTTATTGACAGAGTTTCCAGTTGGAAAACGTTCAATATCCAGAAGGATCTCATTGGGCACACTGGGTTGAATCAACATTGTTTCCACGTCATTTCAATGA